CTCTCCTTGTGCATATGGGCCAGGAAATAAATAAATAAATAATAAATAAATAAAGAGGAGCTGGAACATCCTTTCACATCCTGCTCCGGAACGCGTGTGTTGGACCCAAATACACCCTGGAGCACCCTTTGGTCAGCATTAGGTGTTTCCTCGCAGGCGTCAAGAACAAGTGCCAGGAGCAGAATTTGGTTTTCCCCAGGAGTTGGCCCTGTCTGGGCACGGGGGGTTTTCACACTCAGGGTGGTGGGCTGGGGCTCCAGGCACCCTTTTCCCCCCAGTAACAGCAGGTTTTTAGACCGACCAGACTTAAAATTGTGTGAAGAACATCAGACCACGCGTTTGCTGAACCCACCACCCCCTCCCTCTGAGCACACCCTTTCTCCTTGGTACCGTTTCTTTTCCCTCTCCTTGTCACATCTTCCAAAAAAGCATTTGGGGACTTTAGGGAGAGGTTGTGCCCACAGGCCACCGAGAAGGAGAAAACACCAGGGACCCTCGGATCACAGGGCACACAACGGGAGCGCGGGAGCTGAGGCTGTTTATTAGAGCTGCGTGCCGAGGTGAAACAATCGCTACAGGGAAACGCGGTGCCGAGGAGAAACGGATGGACAAATCCTGCTCCCCGTAAGGCCACGGGCCCAGCAGGAACTCTGGAATCGGGGAATGAGTTATTTCTGCAGGTTGTCTTCTCAAAGTGCATCCGTAGTTGCAGGCCCATCTGTTGCGGCGTTTTAAACGATCCCTCTCTGACCATGGCAGAACAAGACGTGTAACAGCTGCTGTCCCAGTCATTCCCCACCCTGCTACAGGTACCAGTAAGGAACCACTGGCCGTAGTTTTCAGAAACGGGCAACTTGGGGAGATAAAATGCTTTGTGACCCTCTTCTGTTCAGGAAGTACATTTCTAAATTTATCAAGATGTTGAGACATCTAGGCAGCCAAAATCCGTAGTCATTTTTGAAAAATCACATCTTGTGACTGCTGGTTTTTCAGGGGGTCGTTGGTCCCCTGGTTGTGCCACACGCACTCAGAACGGAGCTGCCCCACGTCCCAACCTGGATCTTGCCAGTAGCAGAGCTGTTACCACTTTCAACTGGAGTTCCCCTCCCAGAGTTGCTTCTAAGCTTCTGCCTAGAGTTGGGTTGAATAACTGGTACGGTGGCCTTAAAAAAAAGAAAAGCTGAGCAGCACTTGTGCTGTAAAACACCCACTTGCTGAGCTTTTGCAGGCACGCCAGCTCCCACCACTAAGCACGTAAAGATTGTCTAGCTGGTAATGGTCTGCACTGGAGCTTTGGCCATCACCTACTGCCCCATGAGAGCTACTACAGACCTGAGCTGGGTGCTTCGCTTTTGCTCTCCGAGAGAAAACAGTGACTCTATGGACACGCTCGGAGCTGCGCTTTTCGGGCACAGAGGCTGGCTTTCAGGGTTTTTTTTTTTTTTTTTTTTTCAGCTTTCTCAATCTCTCAGCATCTGAAGTAAGGGCTAAAATGATGCGATTCTGACTTCTAGCAGCTGCTGGAAGTTCAATTTTACGAGCGAGCGTTTGGGACGTAAATAATCTACAACAATAAGAGGCATCACGGCGAGCGCTGGCGAGGTGGGGGGGAAAATTCTGATTCCAGTCGAGCCGAGCTCCTTGTCAGGAGAGGCAACTGAGATCCCTGCTCTCCGACACGCTTTGGATGGCCACGAGACACCGGCCCTCGGAGGCCAGGTTAAACCAGCAGGTGAGAGCCAGCGTTATCTTGCCACGCGGCCGGCAGCCACGCACGCCGCTGCAGCGGCCCACGAGGGAGCAGGCAGGAAAGGGAAATTAAAGCTGACACACAATTAGAGTAAAGTGAGTCTGCAAGTGCTCCTGAAAGCCCATGGAAAGCGAATGGAAGTCAGGCAGGAGCTATTTCTAGGCAGAATTTGGGGGTGAGGGAAGCCGAAATAGGCTTTTGCCAAGAACTAAATTCAAGCCCTCCCAAGGATCCAAATTTAGTGTTTAATACTTGTCGTATCTGCTTGCTTTGTGCCAGCTCACACGCACTAAGCTGCAGCCTGATTGCAGAAATGAAAGGAGAAAAAAAAAAAAGGAATCAGAAAAGGTTTCTTGCAATTAGCTTAGCTAAACCTATGGAGCTCTGCCTGACTTTCAACACAGGGAACACTCTGGAATCTTAATGAAATTAAAGACAGGTGGAGCAGCTCAGCACCTTTGGAAAATCAGCCCACTTATCTTTGTAGGTGACACTGCCTGATCCTGTTAGCACGGGCACTTGTCTCCTATGCAGCTGACAGCACTAACGAGCGGGTGTTAAACTCATTCATTGGGATGAGGCAGTGAGAGGGAAAATAACTTGAGGAAAGAGGGGAGCAGGAATTCTGCTATCTTAGCCAGTCAGGAACTGCCAGATCTATTCCGATACGTGCTGCTGAGGACTTTCCACTGGCTGCCTCCTCCAGCTTTGCAAAACCCTGCAAGCAAATAAAGAGAAGGTGAACGCAGGAGCTGGGTACCGCACGGAACGCTCGTTGCAGAGGTCAGTGGAGCAGACGAGCGTGCAGGAACGGGACGAGAAATGCCGTCCCGTCACGTTGCATTAAGAGGCGAACAAAGCCGCCGCGCACGCAGCGAGGCAGGTCCCCTGTCCCTCCTCTCCATCATGAGGCAGAGCGGGGAAAGGAGGTCCCTCGTTACAATCTCGGCGCAGTGGCAGGGTTTCTGGTTGCCACCGTGGTGACTCCTGCCCCATCCAGCTCATCAGACAAAAAGCCATATCCAGCCCACTCCCCTATTGATTTGCCGACAGGGCGTACACCTCTTTGGTTTTCCCAGTGGTTCCCATCTCAAAGGATCTCTACGTAAGGCATTAACTGCACCTGCCACTGATGTGTTCCCTCCTTGCTGGAAGATGGTTACAGCTGCAAAAGCACTCAGCCCTCCACAACAGGTTAGCCCAGGACACAAGGAGGAACTCTCCTTACCTTCAGGGAGGACTTCTGGACCTCTGAGGGACATTCCTCTCACCACTCGAGCCAGCCCTCTGCTCATCTCCCCCACGTGAAGCTGACCCAGCCTGTTTATCACCTTATGGCCAGAGATTCTGGCTCTAACCGAGACCCCTGGGACCAGCTCTGGCATGTTTCTAACTAATTCTGCAACAAGGGTCACTGCTTCCCACTAAAAAGCCCCAGGAAAATCCCCGTATGGGTCACTCAGTGCATGTGAGGGTTAAATGCTCTCCAGTCAGTGAGCTCCAGGAGCTCTCTCATCCAGGCGTTTGTGCTGACGCTGTAAAGGGGCACTCACCTAGAAGAGTTTCTCGTAGCATTTGTCACAGTGGACGATGTCCCGGTGGATGAATATTTTATCCAGAAGGTCTCCCATTGCTTTGTGGCAAATTCCACACTGCCGAAGGGAAAACAAGGTGGTCAGACAGTAACCAAAGCACCATCCAGTAAGGACAGCATGGAGGGGGCAGAGAAACCAACACTCTCTGTATCATTTTAGGCGTGAGGCTTCCTCCTCCCACACTCACTCACCATTTCCACAGACTTTACTTGTCAACTTTGCAGAGGTTGAGAGGTTCGGCGAGACCTGCACTGGGGCACGAAGGCCACAAAGCAGCAAGTCTACCACAAGGACAGGGACACGAGGAAAGAGGGTGCTGCTATTCCATCAGATGACACTAAAGAATTCTCTTTGCTCTAATATGCGTTTGTTTGAGGAGCTGAAAAGCTTTTGGGGGACACAACCAGCACCTGTGACTGCATGACTTTTTCTGTCCTGATGTGGAGGCCAGCATTTGGCACAAACTATATACATTACTCTGAAAGTCTGAGGGCAGAATTTGCACCAGGATTCCTCCTCCCACCACTTCGTTTCACAGCAGCACACAGAAGGCAGTCAGGAAAGATGTTTTTTTTTTACCCTGAAACAGTATTCGTGGCAGCAGATGTTAAGATGCTCTATTATGATCTTGGGGCAGTCCCGGATCTCGCGGCTGCAGTAGCTGCAAACGGGTTCACTGGACCTGTGAAGGGACAGAAGAGTGAATTCCTCTGCAACACAAGCTGGTTCCAGTCCCAGCACTCGTACCAGAGGCTTCTTACCTAACACCAGCATCGCTCTGCGCCAGCTGCCTGCTGCTACAAGTGTTTGACCATGTCCAGTGACAGTACAGAGGGACATGTGTTATCCCAGGGATGCAGAGACCACATGGCAGGGCAGTACAGGTCTTTAAGTCAATGACACTGTATTTTCCAAAGATCATTTACACTTCACGCTGCTATTTCACCCAAACACATACCAATATTCTAAAAAAGCAAAACCTTAAAGGCATTTCTGTTTAACATTTTGCTGAAACCCCCAGGGCAGCCCCCAGCTGTCCTACCTCTGCAGGGGAGCGCTGGACAGGTAGCTGTGGTGGCTGTAGGTTGCTGTCTCCAAATCGGTCAAATCCACAAGGCTGCCACTGGGGACAGAAGGAAATATCAGCACTTGACAGTGATCCATGGGAAAAGCATCTCAGACGGAACCACTAATCATTAACCTAAAGTCCTAACTGCAACATCCCACCTGAAAAGGCATTTCCCTCGGAGAGGGAGGGCTGCCAGAGCAGGAGCTTCATCTCTGTTGTACTGACACTGAAGATACTCCTTAGGGGTGGCAGTACCCTGCTCCCTGCCCCACACCACAATCCCTGTGCCTCTGGTCAGACTCAGAGCCCGCTCCGGGCTCAGCCTGGCAGATAAGGTTTGGAAGGAGTAGGCACTTCCAAGGGCAAGCAGAGACAGCAAAAAGCTGGTGGCCCCAGCATCTGACCTAACTTCAGAGCACTGAAAGACATGTCTGGCTGCGCTGCTGCCCCCACGGGGAGAGGCAGGATGTGGGCAGCGTGGCTGGGAAACCGGGGCACGCACCCCGAAACGCGAGCCTGAGGCCGAGGGAGGCGGCATATGGTAAAACATCACACTGATGTTTACATACAGACCCTATAAACAGCAGCTATTTTCACTGCTCACTAAACTCCCAAATCCTGAACTATTCTGGAGAAAAGGACACAGGACACGTCCTTAGTCTCAGCCAGCTTGAGTGCTCCCTCTCTGCCTTCTGTTTGCCCGTTTTTCAGACGCTGCGGCCATACGCTCATCTTTGGTTGCTGACATCTGCTTTGCCGACCTACAGGAAAGGCTGGAGATTTATGGAGCCTGCAATCAGCTCCCACAGTCATGCCAGCACAGCACTGAGGGAGGGTAAACGCCAGCAGGGAGGCATCAAACTGGGTGTTAACTGGCTGCCACATCGGCGTAAGTGCAGCGTACATAGGGCCAAGTTCTGCTCTCGGTCACATTGGTGTCAATCTGGAGTCGCTTTACTTGGTCACCTTTGAGCAGAATACAAAAGACTGAAGATTTAAGCTTGGAAATGGCATTTTTAAACTTTTTCTACACTGCGGCGTAGTGTTTTCACCCCGGCACCCACCTTGGAGGCCGACCCACTCAGGGGGAGAGTTTATCCCCCCTCTTCTCTAGGAGCTGCAGGACACACATCCTCCTGTCCCCGCAACGGGACCGGGCAGCCCAGTGGACTGCAGAGATGCCCGTCTGGGTCCCCAGAGCAGCACTGCTGCCTTGGCAAACCTCTCTGCCCACCTGAGATAGTGATCCCCCCAGGGCTGACGAGCTCAGGCCCAGTGGCAGGCTAACGTGGCGTGTGTTAGCTGGCAGAGCCACACGCCGCTGCTTTGCACACGCATGTGGACACACGACTGTCTCCGGACACTCCTCATACCTGCCGTGGCGCGGGGAGGCCGAGAGCTCGCTGCTGTTCACGTACTCCTTCACAAAGAGGACCCCTTTTCTAGGAAGGGCAGAAACAGAAGGAGAAGCATTTGCATTAGAAAAGACTGGAGCTGATGAGAGACAGCACAAGGGACCCCATGTGTGCACTTGGACACGTCACGCGTGCGTGAAAAGGCTGGGAGTGGGATGCTGTTGTTCTTCAATAAATACTGAATATCGAGCTTTGTTGCTAAATAACACCTAATACACGCCTCTAATTAACCCACCAAAACAAATCAAGTTAATTAAAACAAATGGGATGGATAATGTAACTCTTTCAGCCAGTTATCCCCTGTTTTGCAAGGATAAGTCTTTCTCGAATCGTGTCGGGATTATGCACACAATAAGTATTCAGAGAGCTCGTGGCTCTGCCCGTTAACGTTCAAACCCTCCTGGCACAGCACCACTCACAGGGACTGTTTTGTCACTGGAACATCTCCAGCCCTTTCATCCATTATAAATTTATACTGGTTTGTTTTGGGGATGTTTTTGCTTACAGAGCCGACCTTTCCTAGCATATTCCTCCTCCTTTAAAATTCTGATTTCAGAATTACATGCCCCCATCTGCCTGTCTGTGGCTCTGTCACGGCTCGAGGGGGGACACCGTGCCCACCGGCTCTCTTCCCAGCGCCGTGAAATGAACTAATCGGGCTCTTTCTCCACGGTGCCTTTTCACTGCTGCCTATAAGCTGTGATTAATCCTCTCTTCTTACACCAGCAAACTAAGCCATGTCACAGCTAAGGAGAAAAAAGAGAAAAGTTTTTGGTTTTTTTTAACCTAGCATACACACTTCCCATGCCGAGCGTTTCAGCTGGGAGCCTCCCACTTAGGCAGGTTGTGATGAGCAGGCTGTGGCAAGGCCAGGAGGACCCAAATACTGCCCGTCAAAGCCTGTGCTGACCTCTCACCGCTTTGAAACCCCCAAATTGTGTAAAGCTCTGCAGCAGTTTTCACCTCTGAGGGGAAGCCTCAAACTGGAAACCACAGATCCGAGAATACAGCTCTGAGCTGACAGCTGCACCGTGACGAGATGCTACCTCCTGTACCACACAAGGGGTCAGGGTCCTGTGCCAGCCCCCCCCAAACCTGATACACTTGCTGTGGGCTGTTCACTTGCTCACCATGGACTTCCAAGAGCCCCACACCTGTGATGGGTGCCTACGGCATGAGGAGCTCCATCATGTCCCTCCAGCTACAATGTGTTACGGAGGATTCATGATTTTGCCACAGCTCTCAGAGTGACCTACATCCTGGTCTCGAAAAAAGGGCACCTGGAGAAAAATACCCAGCCCACCTCTCCCTTCTGGGTGGCTGAGAAACATCCTGTGGCCCAGATGCCACGCAGCAAAGCCTGACTTGTCTCCCCCAAGAGGATGGCCACATGCAAAACCTGTATTGCAGGGCGAGGATGGTGAGCACCCTTGGCTCTTTACCCGGCAGCGCTGGCATCGGGCTGGTACCCAGCAGTCGCTGGGCTGTTGTGGGGTAAGGTGGTGATCGGGCTGCTGATCCTCTCACTCGAACTTGAGAGAAGCCTGGCAGGAGAGAGAAAAGTCTATGAGCACTGAAAACATGAGCCATGCCATGATCCAAGCTGGCAGCCAAGAAAAGACCTACCGCTATTCCTAGGAGGGCAGTTTGGGGGGTGCAACACTAAGGCCCCATACAGATTAATTCATCTTTATGGCAGACCTTTTCTCTTTTCACAGCTGCCACATAACAGTACTGCTTTCCTGGAGAAGCGATTTGGAAAAGTCTCATTTATAGGGCCATGGGAAAAATGGTCAAACAAGAACTTCAAATAAACGCAGAACTCGAGCGAATCGTGCAGCCCGAAGGGGAGCAGCCCTGGAGAGGAACTGCACACAATGTACTGCAGGAGAGGAGGAGATGGGGACATATTGGCCAAAGTCCAACATAACTATCCCAAACTTCATAATTTCAAAAGCTGCAGAAGGAAGAAGGCAGCAAAACTATGGCTACTGACACGTCTTCAGAAAACAGCTCTGCCTGTCCACTCAGCAACGAGGCCTGTTACGTTTGCCTTACAGGGATGAAGCTGATCTTGCCTGGAGCCAGTCCCAGGCCATCCAAGGATCTTGTGTCTCCTGTTCACACCCACAACACACTCCCCTCTACAGATCCAACGCTCAGACCTACGCTGGTGCCTCCATACTGTAGCAGACTGCACGTGGCTGGACTGACACTGCCATGAAGGACTGCAGAAAGCCCAGGGTAATGGTATTCCATATTGGATACCTCCAGCAGCCTTGCTCTAGGACCAGTTCAGTCATTGAATCATTGACATTCTGGAGATAGTGACATCTCTTGACATCTTTGCTTTTAGCTCTCCTTTTTTCTGTAGCCTTTCCAAAGGCCAATGACCTCCAGGTCAAGGGAGGGTAGCCAGGAACCCTTCATTCTCCTGTCTCTCTGTTCTGGCACCCCACACGGTGAAAAATCTCCAGAGACCAAAAATGGATGTATCACAGACCTTCTGCTGGGCAGCTTTTGCTAGGAATGGTTTAAGAGTAGTTCTGTGCCTCTAGATCACACATCCACACTCTGGAAACCATTCATCTCTCTTTCAACTCTTGGCTTTGCTTCCTAGCTTCTCCTCCACAACAGTTCCGTGGAGGTTTCCCTCTCAACCATCAAGACTACCCATTTACCTGGTGCTGTTATAGTTTAAGCTGTCCATGTAGAACGGCACCCTGTGGCTTCTTTGGGAAATGGACATGGCGGTATCTCTGGGAAGGGAGTCGTGGCTATGAAAGGAAGTGATAGAATCTCAAGCACTGAACTTGAGCACGTGAGGGATCCTCACAAGCGGTGAGAATCTTGGCTAAACGTCTCCCTGCTCAGCATCAGAATCACCCACGCACCACAGCCATCCACACGAACCGCACCTACTGCACATGCTTAGATCTGGGGAATCAGAAGTGGGTCAGGACACTCCAGATACTGGAGAAATGTAGCAGCAGGGCATTCTTTGTGGTAACAAGTCTGGATTCCCTTTGATTTCTTACCGTCCGGCCGTGGGGTTGAATTCGCAGAGCCCCCTGGCACTGGTGCTGTCGTACCTGCTGCTCCGCGGGCTGCTTCTCCCATCATAAACTCTCCCTTCGTAATCGGGGGTGGGCCTGGCAAGGAAGCACAGAGTCCTGGTTACGTTGCACCAGGAGCCACTGGGATCCCCACACTGGCTTACTGACATGTCGTCCCAGCAGCAGTCGCTATCGTGATACAGTCTCCCTTTGCCCTGCGCTGGTTCTGCAGCGCACACGGAGCTCTGGGGCTGGGAAAGCAAACTCCAAACCTGATGCTTGAGGGTGAAGTCAAAGTGGCTCTGTACTCAGTATTGTTTCTTCCCCCAGCACCCACCAAAACCACCACTGCACCATCTGCACGCGGGAACTGCTGAGCGGCCGACCCATCTGGGTGTCAGACCTGCACGTTTTCACTTTTCCGAGACAGAACCCATTACTGGAATGGCTTTAACTGGTGGGCAGAGCTCCGGCTCTTTCAATAGAGAAAATGAGCTTATAGCTTATGGTCATGCCTTTCTTGCCAGCGCCCTGGGGCACAGATTATGTTTATATTGTATATCAGCACTTTGGTCCTGATTAAAGCTTCAGGCAACTGCATAACTTAATGTTAAACACTGCTGGGAAACCCTGCAAATCAATGCTGCAGTACAGAGAGAGGGGGGGACGGGCTAAGCTCATCGTAAGATGAGAAAAACCCCGCTCCGGGCAGGACACGCGTTTGGTCCACGAAATAAACCCAAGGGCAGGAACGAAGCCCGAGTTTCCTGCCCTGCAGAGAGACGTGTCAGCAGCACACAGTGCCGGGGGGACAACGGGCTCCGGAGTACAGTAGAGGTCTGTCCCGTTTATTCTAGTCCTCGTCTGCAAATGCCTCTGGAAGCAAATGAGAGCTTTGTGACACCAACTTTCTGAAAAACGCTAAAAGAGCTGAAGGCCACATTCAGATCACAGGAGTGTAGATATATTCATAAATAATAGTTGTAAGTGTACAGCTTGTCTCTTAGGTCATTGAGGGTCTCGAGAAATAAAAACGTAACCGCTCCTGAATCATCTCCGCAGTTACAGAGGAGAAGCACATGTGGTCTCTACACATCTGTCAGGTTTCCAGGGACTGTGTAGGTGGTCTGAATACAACCAGCCAAGAACTGCCCAGTGTTACAGAGCAATCAGCAGCTCAGATCTCCTGAATCCCTTCTTCAGCCCTTCAGGTCCCCAAATGATCTTGTTCCATGTGTTGTGAGACCTGGCAATACTGTTGCTCCCTCTGGGAACAAAATCCTGTTCTCACTTCTTGATGCAGTCATCATACAAGCTGGCCCAGAGTTTCTGTCCAATATTTCTGTGCCAGCAGCCTTCCTTGTCTCTGCATCCCATCCCCAAACCGTTACCTTCTGGTGCCGAATACTTGGCTGTCTACATAGGACGGTATCCTGTGACTGGGTGCTGGCACGCTGGTGTTCAAAGGCTGGTGGTCCATGTACAGTGGCATGGCATGCTGGGTCTCATGTGCACTGAGAGCGCTCTCTTGTGAGCTGAAGTTAGACCTGCTAAAGAATTAGAGCCAATTTGACCATAAAGCCAGTGACTGTATTTGCTGTGACCAGCTCACACAAGTGTTCAGAATTTGCCGAGGCTGGATCATGCCTCCTTCTACTGGCAATCAGGAGAACCTGGGGCACCAGGCTGCTAACGGGTTCTCAAGGTCTCCTAAGCCTCATATTCCTTTTGTCAGTGTCACTTGCTGACTGTACACTGGGCAAACTCACATAGGTCCAGGACTTGACCCTGGAGGTGTTCAAGGCCAAGCTGGACAAAGTCTTGAGTAGCCTGATCTAGTTGAGAGGCGTCCCTGCCCATGACAGGGAGTTGGATTAGATGATCTCTGAGGTCCCTTCCAGCCTGTGCCATTCTATGATTCTATGGCTTCAGGCAGGGTTGGAATGGCAAAGGAGGAGGATTTGAGAGCGCTGACGGGGAGAAACAAAGGGTCCCACTGTACCTGGCTGCCACTGGGTCAGGCTCATTGTGTCTCCAGTCTCCTGGGCTCTCGTGGTGACTGTCTGTGGTGGGGCAGGTTTGTTCTTCATAAGCTGGAGTGATCCTGGCCAGGGAGGAAAAAGCCTGTTAGCATCTTTAGCACTTGTGTGTAAGCCTGTCCACTGCAGTGAGGAAATGCAGTAATACCATGACTATGGTGGGGTTTGAATCCAGCAGCCAAGAAAGGAGCATTTGCAATGCCTTTGAGCAGGGCAACAGGGAGAACACGAGATGTGCCAGCAGTGAGGGCACGCTGGCCCCCTCGCCATACCTTCCGTGCCGTGGGTCGGGTTCCTCTGCACAGTGGGTCTCTGGGGCAGTGATGCTGCTCTCTCTGGGTGGAGCGCTGGACCTGCCAAGACAGTGACCATTACAGTCTGCACAAGTGCCACTGCGCATAAAACGACCGTAGGATGTGGATGCAACCCCTGGTGAACCTCCTGCCTCGAGAAAAGTACAATATTCCCGCATGGGAATATGCCAGAGAATCCAAAGAGATGTGGGGGGGGGAAAAAAAAAAGAGAGAAAATACAGATCTCTAAAAAGTAACACTGAAAGGAAAGAAAAAATAAAGCTCCTGATGAGCATCAGTTACCTGTTTACTCTTTCCAAACTTGACATTTTAACTCTGGTCATTTATTTATGACCATTCTATGATCCACTACCTCTACGTTACGTTTCAGACTAAGAGCATGAGCTGGCCTCATCTGGGTACCATCTCAGAAGTGTATCCACTAGATAAACCCACTGCAGAGCCACCCTGAATTTACACCTGTCTGCATTAACCCAGGCAAAAGTTTGTTTGCTTTTTCCATCTGGTTTTGTATGTTTGTGCACCCCAACCCCTCTGGGAATACCAATATCCTGCAGAAAATCTGAAACCG